TTCTGAGTAGGTCTATACAAAAAGCTTTTGTTCATTATAATGATGTCATGCAGATAGCCTCTGATTGGTCAGTTTTTGTTTAATTGCTAATGAATATTGATGAGGTACCTAATAGTATATAAGGAGGTGACCAGCAGCAGTCAATCACTTCTCACTAAAACAAGAAATCATCTCACAAGAGGAAGGAATACTCTCTATCAAGGAAAGGAATCATGAAGACTCTACTCTCACTCTTCTGTCTGGTTACTTACCTCACCTGTGCTCTCAGGTATGTTACTACACTATCAAATCAATGTTACTTTTCTCTTGTACATGCAGTGCTAATGGCTGGCCAGTCTCTCTTGACATGGCTTGTAATAAAGCTCTTTCTGCAGTTGCTTGCTCTTTTGAGTTTACCAACAATGCAAATGAGGATCTTTATCTACTCAAACGTAACACTCCTCTTGAAGGACTCAGATCTCAATTTGTCTCTGTCTCTCTTGATGGTCATCCATTACAATATGAAGGAATCATCATGTATAGTCTCCCTCCTACAAAGGATGAGTTTGTTCTCTTGAAGGCAGGTGAGAGTATTTCTGCCTCAGTCCAAATCACTGATGCCTTTAGCATTGATACTGATGGTCTCTACACTGTACAATACAGTAGACCTTTACAGTATCTGTCAGTGAATGAGATGAGTGCAATGTCTACTGGTAAGCTCAGGGAATCGTTTGTACGTGAATCTGTTCACATTCATTTGGAAGACACTTCTCTTCTCTCAAGGCCAAAGGAGCAAAAAGTAGAAATCGATTACACTGTCTACATTGAATCCTGCACTGCTGCTAGTTTCTCTAACGGTGATAGGAACAACTCTGCTACACTGGATGCTCATAAGAGGCTCTGTGCAGGACTTGATAAAGCTAAAGGTGCAGTTGGTAACAACACTCGCTATGTGACATGGTTTGGAGCATACACTGCAGCAAGAGCTGCAATTGCAGCAGATACATACAGTAAGATGAGGACTGGGATAGGAAGCAAATCTCTCACATATTACAACAATGGTCCACTGTGCAAATCCAACTGGATAGCATACACGTATAAATCATATTCTCAAACAGTTACTTATCTTTGCAACTTGTACTATGATGATCCAACAGCCTGCAGGGGTACCGCCTACACTAAAGAAGGTACATTGGTCCATGAGTGGGCTCATGCTCTGGCTGCCCGTGATGATGTTGCTTATGGTCCCAGTAATTGTAAGAGCCTGGCTAAAAGTAATCCTGATAATGCCTTGAGAAATGCTGATTCCTATACCTACTTCTATTGTGAGGGTCGATAAGGAGCTCATCAGCTAAAAGCCAAGAACTTTAGGACTCATGCAACACTATAGGACATGCACAGTTTATTTTTGCTGCTTTAGGCCTCTTTTTGCTTACATGTACTACAACATTTTTGATTAATTAATATCATTCTTGGCTTCAGTAATACTTTAATTAATAATAAAATTCGATGAATTTTCAATGTCAAGGGAAAAGGTGGGAGTGTTCCAAAAGCAATCAATCAAAGATTTAATGAAAATAACATGAAGAAACATCAACATGTATGCATGAGACAAAGCCTGCATGGTGTGTTACAGTACTATTACTTTGTGCTTCTAAATAACAAAACTTTTATGACATAAAATCTTTTTCATTGAGGGAAGCTTTTAAATGGAGTTGGTGCAATAATTTTTTCAATACATGGAGGTTATTGACTGAAGATTATTGACTACTATGAATAATTCTCAGTAACGTATTATATTGTTTCAGTGAGAGAATAGAACCAAAAACAACTAAAATCAACTATGCAATGTATTGATTTTTCCAAAATTTGTATGCATTGATTGTCTATAAGAAGTGAATTACTAGTTGTACTCATTTCACTGGAAAACTAGACAACAATCACAGCGTAGTAACTTGGTAGTCACTTCAACTGTTGAAATTCTGAGTAGGTCTATACAAAAAGCTTTTGTTCATTATAATGATGTCATGCAGATAGCCTCTGATTGGTCAGTTTTTGTTTAATTGCTAATGAATATTGATGAGGTACCTAATAGTATATAAGGAGGTGACCAGCAGCAGTCAATCACTTCTCACTAAAACAAGAAATCATCTCACAAGAGGAAGGAATACTCTCTATCAAGGAAAGGAATCATGAAGACTCTACTCTCACTCTTCTGTCTGGTTACTTACCTCACCTGTGCTCTCAGGTATGTTACTACACTATCAAATCAATGTTACTTTTCTCTTGTACATGCAGTGCTAATGGCTGGCCAGTCTCTCTTGACATGGCTTGT